TCCAAGATTTGGCTCTCACGAAAGTACTTTTGGGTCAAGCTTATCCGCAATGCATGGTTAAGATGAGGCACATTGTTAAGTGAGGATATGCTCTCTCTCTCTCTCTCTGTCATTTTATTTTTGGCACAAAGCTTAACCAGAGAATTTGACCCGGGTTCCCTTTGAAAGTACTATTATGACTAATTCTTGAATGAGTCATCCAAGTTATTTTGTTCCACTCGTCCTTGTAGCCCATATTCAATATGGCTGCACTTTCTTTGAGGATTGCGGAGTCAAATGCTTTCGAGATTCAACACACATAAAACCTGTGATTTGGTTTGGTTGGAATTATAGTATTACTTCTAATTGCACGTTGTTTCTATCGTGATAGTTGAAATGTATACATAGTTTTTTGTCGGCTTGAAAATATGCGAGTGCAACCCCCCACCCAAAAAAAAAAAAGAAAAAATTGAAAAAGAAAAAAAAAGGAGGAGGGAAACCAGAAAGCAGCAAAGTAATTACTTGGTTTAATAATATGAAGTAATTATAAAAAGATAATTTCCTTTCAAGTAATATTTGTCATATTTGTCATTCATAAATAATATTTTATGTCGAGGGCAAGTCTATCACAACTAAAACTTGGATTTTACTTTTTCAATCTAGTGGTGTCTAGATATCCCAAATTTGGACTTACCAAACATTTCATCTTTTTCCACCCCCCTTCAGCTACGGATTTTAGCACCATTTTGTCAGTTGCACTTTCTGTCATATTTTTCATTCATAAAAAACATTTTTTACTTCGAATCCAATTTTATCTCAACTAAAATTCTCTCCCTATTTATTTACAAAATCCAAAACATAGGCGTAAAATTTCAATGTAGTAGTGTCTAGATGTCGCAAATTTGAACTTACCAAAAACAGTTTGAAGATATGGATTTAATGTTCAACAACTTCAATCATAGTAGACCGTAAGTTGACTTCAAGATCTCATGATAATTTAATAAATACATCATGTGCGGATCCAGATCTTGTATCTAAAAGCCCCTTTTGGAAAATAACTTACGAAATCGGGTAATTTAAGAGCAATTTCAATGATCTGATGGACTAATTCCAAAATAAGAAAGATGTAAGGGACTATTACCAAAAAAACTTTAATATTAGTGGACTTGTACATTGGGCTTTTCTAAACACTGGCCCATGCCAACTAGTTTTAATAATGTAAAAGTTATGGGCTTTTCTTTAATTTTCAACACCTTTGGCAGCAAATCCTCTCTCTCTCTCTCTCTCTCTCTCTGTCTCTGTCTCTGATAAACCCTAAAAAATCGTCGTTAGGGTTTTACTAGTTCCATGGAAGATCACGAGGGCTTGAATGCGCTAACAAGGTGAGATTATAATTTGGTAAACATTTATCGATATACTCTCTATTTTGGAAGTCAATTGTTGAATTTTCTGAAAATAAAAATCTCAAAATCTGTCGATTTAGAGAAACTCCTCAATTGGTAGCTCTATTGAAAGAGATGAAGGATGGGTTGGATGCGGTGAGGAGCAAAGTTCAAGCTTTAACCCTCAAGGTGAATCCTCTCTTCCCGCAATTATAGGGAAAAAATCGCATTTTTTATGTGTTATTGGTAAACATTGTGCAAGTTTTAATGTATAATGCTAGAAGAGGAAAAGGGTTTTCTTCCGGCGCTTCGTTAATCAAGTTTATGATGTAAAAGTTTTATCTTTTGAGAGTCTCTTGTTAGGACTGCCTAGCTCTAAAATTAAAATGAATTTTTCTGTATTTCTTTTATAAAAGAATTTTAGATGCCCATTCAGAGGGAAGAGTCAGGGTTGTATTGGTTATACACGTACTATATTCTCTTGTCCTGAGAAATTTGAAGAATTGAGATCATGTTGTTTTAATCAGATTAGAGAAAGAGGGGGTGAGGTTGGTGTTGATGATGGGGGTGATGATTGGCTCAGTGATGAGGGGTTTGGGATGGAATTAAGGACTTTGGCATAGCATAAAGAAGAGGAAAGGGAGGTGAGTTTTTTGAGATGAGAAGAAAGTCAAGGGAAGGAAACGGAGTATCGGAGAGAATGTGAGAGGCTTTATTTATGGTGAAGCATCAAAAGGTGGTGGCTATCCGTGAGTAGATCGAGGCAAGTAGGCTAATCTATTTAGTTATCAACTTTTTGTGGTTGGCTACATGAATCCTATTCTTCCATTCAGTTCTATTTTGGGTCGTCGTTTCCGTTAAGGCATTAACTAGTTTCATAAATAGATGCAGGACTAATTAATTTGCATGCTTCGTAATTTTGTTGATGTTTAAACAAAATATATGGTCTTATGATATCCTCACCTTTCAGTCCTGCAGATAAATAAATACACTTATGATATATCTACCTTTCAGTCCTACATCTTGAGGCTTCCTGCACCCTACCTAGTCCATTCATTAAAGTAATTGATCTGTGCAAGATGTGCATATGTATAGATGTTGGAATTGTTAATTTGCATGCCATTGCCATTCAACAAATTTGTTGTCAAAAAAATTCTTTATCGTCTTGTGATATCTTCACCTATCAGTCCTGCAGATAAATAAATTCTCTTAAGCTATCTCTACCTTTCAGTCCTGCATCTTGAGGATTTCTATCCTACACGTTACCCAGTCCATTAACTACAACTAAAACTCTCCAGACTGTTACAGAATGAGGTGATGTGTAGCGTTATATAGATAGGAACTGAAATTATGCATTGCGATTAAATAATATTTAAAAAAAAAAATTCTCTACGTTCTTGTGATATCTTCACCTATCAGTCCTGCAGATAAATAAATTCTCTTACACTATCTCTACCTTTCAGTCCTGCATCTTGAGGATTTCTATCCTGCATGTTACCCAGATAAATAAATTCTCTTACGCTATCTCTACCTTCCAGTCCTGCATCTTGAGGATTTCTATCCTACACGTCACCTGGTCGATTAACTGCAACTAAAGTTTCCAGGCTGTTACAGAATGAGGTGATGTGCAGTGTTATTTGGAGAGGAACTAAGATTGAAGATGCTGTTGAACCAATATCCTCTCAAAGGAACAATTGCGGCTGGCAACTAGTTGCTACTTGTGATATGGTTCCAATTATTGGCCTAAGGGGCTTAAAATATTTAGATGTGAATTTATGATGCTATTCCTGGGTAATCAAACTCTGTAATTAAACTTCAACCTTTCCTTAATTCTTTTTTCAGCCTCCTGATTTTGTAAAAGGGCAGTCTTTTCCTTATAAATGTATACATTAGATGCTAGCAAATACTAACCTCAAATGACAAGGTTGTCCCTTTATTTATTTTCTTTGTTGTTGCAGTCCACATGACATCTGTTGCCAAAATCACCATGCTTTTCACACATCTATTAAATTTTGATCTATTTGCCTATCAGGTTAGAGAGAACCAGCTCTTAACTGCAGATGGGATGAGTTATCTAGAAACCAAGCATTTGCTTCTACTAAGTTATTGTCAGTCTATAGTCTACTATTTACTTCGCAAGGCAAAAGGGTTATCAATTGAGGGCCATCCAGTGGTCCAGACTCTTGTAGAAATTAGATTGTTTCTGGAAAAGGTATTTCCTTTAGCTTTAATTGTGTTTATTTTCTTCTTTTATTGTCTTCTTGATGCTTTATTTATGGATTGTGTCCAATTTCCCTATTTAGATTCGCCCAATAGACAAGAAGCTGGAGTATCAAGTTCAGAAGCTCACGAAGGCTGCTGGGAATGTTGTAAAAGACAGTACAATATCCAGTACTGTAAAAGAGAAAGAAGGAGCTCAAAGTGGGGATGATCCTTCAAGGTTTCGTCCAAACCCCGACATGCTTGTTCCCAAAACTAGCGAAGCTGATCAGGTGACCTTAACTTATATATCTTTATTCTCAAACTTCCGATGTCCCTACATCTTAAACACTTGCTAGGCTGAGACCTGTAACTTGCAATATTTAGAGGATCGGATCAGACTCAATGGTGTGATTTGTTTGTATTAATTAGTCTGAAGTATCTAACAACGACTGGCATAATTAACACTAGTAAATACTCTGGAGAAAAGATCTTCATGATTCAGATACTTACGAACTATATTGTTTCATTTGGAAGTATTTTTTGCTCTATTGTGTGTTACTATGAAATTATTACTATAAGGTTTGTCATTTTTCACCATTCAATTCCTTTGAGCTGTTCGTATTTCTCATATTTGGTCAACCAATATATTTGTACAACTTCAAAAGATGAAAGAAAAATCATTTCGAAGATGAAAGGAAAGATAAAGTTCTCACATTTGAATTTACATCAAATCTTGAAGCTGGAAATGCATCTAGTTATTAAAAGCTTATCACTAACCTTTTATATCGAATTTCATCTTAGGCTGGCGGTCTATATGTACCCCCAAGATTTGCTCCTACTAGTATGGATGACGATAAGGATAAGATGTCCAAAGTAGAAAGGCAGGCCAAAAGACGGCAGAAAGAACTACTGCGAATATCTGAACAAAGTCCTTATTGGAAAGAACTTATGGATAATATTCAGGACAAACCGGAAGAGGTTGGTCTTTAACTATTGTTATTTTATTTATCTGGTATCATCTATTGGTCTTGTAGTAATTCATTACTGGTTACAATTTCATATGCAGCTACAAGAATCGGTGGGACCTGAAAGCAGAGAGCTTTCAAGGTACCTTTCAAAGAGAGAGGAGCAAGAGAGACAGGAAGAAGAGCTTTTTATTCGTGCTCCAACTACAAAGAGAGACAAAAAGCTAGAGAAGCACTTGATGAAGTCGAGAAATGGGTATGTGGCTTCTTACTTGTTCTATTGATTATTTTTCATATTTTTTTAGGTGATACAGATTATTTTAACAATTCAAAAGTTACATGCCTCAAAGCATTTTCAAACCCTAGTTCTTTTAGTAATTTATCTAGACTTCTGCATTTTTGCTTGTCCTAGACATGGATGTCAAGTGTTTGAGCATACAAATATACATAAACATGTACATTCATGCATAGGGGATTGAATTTCTCCCGTTAACCCTTAAAAATTGAACGTGCGTCATTTTTCATAACCCTGCATTAAAATTAGTGGGATTATGGGTAAGAGGGGGTGGAGGGGCTGGGGGGGGTAATAAAGGACTATGGATCTGAAATGATGTCAACTAAGAGTCATATTGATGCTTAGCATATTGAATGATGTAATAAACTTGTCGTAGTAAAGACTTGGTCCTGGGCTCTATAGCTGCTTAAAAGTCTGTGGTTTAGCAGTATTAAGTTTACATCTTCAAGATGGCATCATTATAATTTTGCATAGAGTTTGTGGTCATATTATCTTAATGTACTTTGATTTTACCTTATGGTGCTTATTTCTTGTACTTAGTACCTTAGTACCAATGTGTTCATCATTTGTAACAGGTTGACTGGCTTGACGGATGGGTTTGATGAAGTGCTTAAATTTCTACCCCAGAAAGAAAATGATGATACAGATAATATTCCCAGCATGAATGCGAGTAGAGGAAAAAGATTTAAGAAACAGAAGGTATTTTGAGTTTTAGAAGACAAATTGGTACAACCACTTTTATATCATTCTTTGCATCTACAATATCTTTATTATATTTTACTTGAATATTTTATTTGTTTCTGGCTCTTGAATTAATTTGTATAGTATCCATCTTTGTAATATTCTTTTTATATTTTGATGCTGTATTGATTTATTAGTCTGCTGAATGACGAATTGAGATACTTTAATTTGAGGATCAAAATGTCGCCAT